GGGGCGGACGGGTGTCTCGGTGGGGCTGCTCCGCCGTGCGCAGGCCCCGGTGTGCGCTGGGCTCCGCTTGTCATGGCCGTTCGGGCTGCTGCGGGACGGGGGCGCTGCTGGTGCGTCTGCGGCCGGGGCGGGCGCTGTGGCAAAGAGAGGCGCTCCGTCTCAGGCGAGAGGTTCCCGCTGCCTCTCTGGAGCGGGAAGTTGTGTAGCAGAGTGAGTTGGCAAGTCTAACTCCAAATTCCGGTATGTTAGGTTAATTGGCGAGTGACGATTAGCCTGACAGGATCGAGGGTTTTTACCTTGTTATTTGGTAGTGCTGTCATTGGTTCTTTGCATACTTCACTTTCAGTATTTTGTAAAGCATTAATCCTAGGGATCTTCTAATCATATGTAAATTTATATTTTATGCACGACTTTTGAACCAGTGTTAAAATTTAATGTACTTTACTTTTCATTTTTAGCTTACAATTCATCTCATAAATTGGAGAAACAGATTGAGCTCTGGTAATCCATCTATTTAGTGTTTAAGAAAAAAATAGCTGATTCTGCTCCACTAACTTTTACAAGCTGCGTCATGCTGTATTGTATTCGTTCTACTGTCTGCACCATATTTTTTTTTTTAACTCTGTGGAATTTTATTTCCTGCTTTCTCCCAAGGTCTTCGTTTTGCATCAACTACAGCCAGTCTGAAAACTGAGACTGAAGTGGACACAAGTGAAAATGAGGTTGTTGCCCCAGACTTCACTAACAGGAATCCTCGGAACTTGGAGCAGCTGGCCCTGGCTAGGAAGGAACGTGGCTGGAAAACAACATGGCCAAAGCGTGAATTCTGGCATAGGTGAGTCAGAAAGTCGCCATCAGAAATGAAGGTTGCAAAAGAAAAAAAAAAACCAAACACAACCATAACGCAAACCAAACAAACCCAAAACAAACCCCAGAAACCCTCCAGGTGAAATTTCTACAAAACGTGCTTTTTGAATTGCTGAATCAGTTGCCTCCTGAGTTCTTAATCAACAGGTATCTTCTGTGTGCATTGAACAGTAGGCTAGAATCATGTGAAAGTTAGCATATGCATTCAAGATCTTTCCACCTATTGTAAAGGTAGCAGTAATATTGCTTAAGCAACAGCTGTTAACTTAGGATTCTCCTAGTCCTATGCTGACCATGCATCATTGTTTTATTTGAGGCCCTTTAATAGTCTGTTTGGGTTGGGTTTTTTTGGGGGTGGGTTTTTTTTTTTTTAGAAAATGCTGATTTCTTGTCCTCTGGAAAATAAGTTTCATTTTAAACTGGGCATTCAAAAATCATCGTTTTGTTCTTGAGACGAGAACCGTGTCCAGTTTCTTCATACCTGGAAATCTCATATTGTCTCACTGCAATAAGAAATGGTTGCTCCTAATACTCTGTGGTTATGAGTTATGGCTTATGAAGTACTGCTTGACCACTCGCCATCATTGCCTGCTGTGTAAGCACAAGCTTTTAAGAGGCTATGTAACAAACCTAAAGTTACATTTCTGCTGGAGCAGTTCCCCTGATCTAGCTCATGTGCACCTGTACCACACTGTGCAGGTGTATAGCGCTTGGCTTGGAGCAAGTGCTGGCGTGAGGCAGCGTAGGACTGTGCACCTGAGTAACTGGTGAGAACTTGCTCTTGGAATTTCACTCTGCTGAACTGGTAATACAAGTCCTATTTTATGTCCTAATAAGCAAAACCCTAGATGATAAAAGCAATATTAAGAATTCATTATTATAGTAATAGTTCTAGTACATTCAATTTTATTTCATAAAGTGAGTCACTTAGGCATTTAAGCATTTGAATGTGATCTCTCTTTACATCTGGAAAAGACATCATAATCCCGTGTTATTTCTTTCTTTCACTCAGATTACGGCTTGAGCGGACGCAGCATTATGTAGAAGCCTTCGTTGAGCGCTGTAATGGAGATGTTGTGGTATCTGCCTCTACCCGAGAGTGGGCCATAAAGAGACATCTGTACAGTCCCAAGGGAGTAACGGCATGCAAAAACCTTGGCCGCATAATGGCACAGCGCTGTTTGGAAGCAGGAATCAACTTCGTGAACTTTAAAGCTGTTATCCCCTGGGAACGTCGTTGCGACTCGGCAAGTACCCATCTCTTTATACTTACTTGGCCCTTTTTTCCTTTTTATGCATTAATTTTACTCCTCTTCACCATTAATTTTTCTAATTTGAGCCACTACCTGGCTTGACAATCCCTTCTTGCAACACTCAAAATGATAGCTTTGACAAGCCGCAGTTCCTGGCATTATGCTTCAGTTAACCTCTGCCCCTCCACGCAACATGTCCCCACTGATATTTTGGTGCTCATGGCTTTTCTTTGTATTTATTCATATCTCTATCTTTTAAACAAGATTCAGGAATTTGAAAAAGCTATGGAGGAGGGTGGTGTCGTTCTGCGTGAGCCACGGAGAATCTATCAGTAAAAAGGAGACCGTTAGGAAAACTTTCCAAGGAACAACAATCACTTCTTTAGGAGTGTGTGTACTGGCACAGTGAAGGTCCAGAGCTGGAAAAAGTTGGAACATGGCATCTTACAATAAATTATTTTTAAATGAACAGAAGTGTGTCATATTCTTGATTCTAAAATTTTCAACACCTTTAAGGCTGGAATAAGCTGTTATAATAGCACCCTGACTGGTTAACAGAAATTACTTGAAAATTCAATAATTTAAAAGCATATTTTACTTTTAATATTTGATTTTGTAGTTGTTCTAACCACACTGGAAACACTTAGGTATTTGATCCCTGTACACTGCCAGTCTAATTTAGCAAAATGCTGTCATCATGTGAATGTTTAGAACTGTAACAAAGCTATGTGCTAAACTTGGTAAAAAGATTAAATTCCCCTAACTCATCCTTGCACCTTTCTGGCAACACTGAGATTCTAACTACTTGGGCCTCGCAGGTCTAGGAGGGAAGCTGCACAAATGCCAACTGTAGGGAGGAAGATGCCCCTTTCCCTCTTTCTGTGTCTGCCGGCTGCTTGGCCACAGCCCGATGCCGTCAGCTCGCCTGCCCGATGGGTTGGCAGAGCTCCTGAGCGCGTCCAGGCTGCATAATCCCGCGCAGTAAGTGCAAGCCCCTCTGAGAAGCGGCGCGGCGTGGTTGCACCGGGGTTCAGAGAGGCCACCCTGCTCATTGTGACTCCCGTGCCTGCAGCCCGCTGCTGTACCTGTGCCAAGTGTTTGCAAACGCCGGGAGAGGTG